CCAATTAACAGTTGCTGCAGAAATGATTTAAAAATGAGTTACCAAGACCACACACTAGGGTAGTGGCACACATGATTAAATTTTATCTCAGCATTAACAGACATTTGAACTCCCAAATAGCAACATTAAGTAGCAATTTATATAAAAATGACAAGTGGTTGTACTCACACAAGAAACACAATTGAAGCTCAAGAGCAGGTAGTCTGAAAATATACAAAAAAAGACATGGAATTAGTTTTGGCATGACAGCAGTTAACATTTCATAATTAAATTCTTTAGTATTCAGGCAAGTAGACGACGGCACAACTTGGGATTCACCCTACTTGATTCTAGCCCAATTATTTAACATATAACATATGTGCCTAGCAAGAAGTACATTGACTGATCTGTGCTCTCAGAGGATTAGCGGAGGCACAAACTTAGATAGTATCCTGTAACCAAATAAAACTTGGAACAAAATGTGAACCCAAGTTAAACAAAATTAAAACTGAGCTAGATATTTATTTTTAAGACAGGATGGAAAGGCATAGAAGACAGACCAAGAACTGATTAGCTTACCATTGATTGTGTATTCCTAGTCGATAGCAATTAAATGCCTTCTAAACCATTACATCAATCATTGGATAGCAAAGACTAGTAAATCTCCCCTGCTCTTTGATTATGCATTTCCAGTCGATAGCAACTAAATGCTCTCTAAACCATTGCAAAAAATCGTTGAAGCATGGGGTCGCAGTAGACTTTAAAGAGTAACACAGCTAAAAGCATGCAGAAGACTCAGTCGCTCACTTGATAGGGGACAGTGTGCGCGTTCCATGTCAATTGTGTATTTCCAGTCGATGGCATAAAAATGCCTTCAAAACCATTACAACAATCAACATTAAAACATTAGTTTGATGAGAGACAGGGTGCGCATTCTATGTCAATAGTGTCTTTCCAGTCGATAGCAAAACAGTGCAATCAAAACCGTAACAACAATCAACAGTAGAACATATGGCAGCACAGAGGACTGAAAAACTATCCCATGGTACAGATGTAATAAGCTAATGTCCTTCAACGTTCACAATTATGAAAAATATATTTTGTACACAATACATTTTCTGCATATTGATAAAATTCATATTTGACATTTAGCAAATGTCAATTAAAATAACACACTGTTAATTCTGTGCTTTTAAAGGATTTGCAGTGGCACAAACTGATGATTAGATTTGAGTGTGCGAACGCAACCCCAAACCAGCATGCCAAGTCCAAAGCTGAGATCCAATTAGCACTTACAACAAGTAGAAAGAGATGAAAAATCACAGACATCAAATCACAAGTTAATCAGGAACTTTAGTAACTAAGAAACGATTCAAGATGAGTGCAAAAACCATGATGGGTAGTTGTTATATCACTAACTACGAAAATGATTTGAAGACGAATACAAAGACCACATCGGGTAGTTGAGCGTCTCCATCATTTCTATTATTCATTCTTTTGTTGATGAACTGAATAATCTGTGCTATTAGAGGATTTGCTATAATCGATTAGACAATTGGACTTGAGTGCGCGTACGCAACCCCACTTCCACATGCCAAGACCATAGCTGTAATCGTATAAGCACTTCACAAATAGATATGGAAGACACTTGAACATTATCAAGTCTTTACCACAAATATTACTGACTACGAAAATGATTTGAAGACGAACACAAAGACCACATAGGGGGGTTGTGCGTCTCAATCATTTATATAACTTGATTGTCACTTCTAACCTGAACTTCAAAATTGTTAACACTATTTTACAGAAAACTTTCTTAAATTCATAGTTGTCACATCAACTTTCTTAGTGGGGTGTCACGTCACCGAGTCTACAACCATGAAACGACAATGATTACTTTCAACTTCTAATCAATCACACTTCATACATCAATATTTGAATCACAAAAAGCGCAACACGCAAGATCCAAAACTGAATTGTAACAAATACAAATAGAAACAAGTCAGGAAGACTTAGGCTATGAGTCCACTGCATGATACACGTGGCTTCGCGGACACACATCACAATTTCGCAAAAGAAATCTTCAACAGATAATTAATATACTAACGATACCAATTACATTTTACGCTTCTTACTGTGAAATGTTTCTAAATTAGATAGACATTATCAGAGGCTTACACAGGACTTAGCTCTTTGACATGTGAATGACAAGCAAACACTTTTACATGATCCACAAGTTTCTTAACTTATTTCCAATAAAACCACTTTCATTACCTTATTAATCCAACACATGACAAAACAAATAATATTTAACAAAATTACTTACTTTTGCAAATTTTGCACACACAAAGCCGGTTGCGCAAAAGTCACAAGTCCAAAATGTAAACAAACACTATGAGCAACTGTTGCACCTTAACACAAAATATTTCAAAGTGTTATAATCTTCATGTTTGTGAGTTTTCTGTGTTAAAACTTACATTTCCTTTCTTCCTTTTAATAAAACTGTTTCATAAATTAAATAAATTGTGTGTTTTAAAAAGATTAAAATATTTGCCATTTTTCGATACTATCGCTATTTGTGCCATGGTATTTTGGCTCTAAAAGCGGCCTGAGAGGTAACCCTGGACCCCGAAACTTTTGCCCGCCAAGCTTCCCCCTCCACTTTCCCGAAAGCCCGAAGTGGACAGGCCCTGTTTTGGACCTCAGTCCCCCTCACCTCGTGGTGTTGCCGGTATCTCACCCTCCCGTCGCCCGCCCTTGGAGTCGGGACGTTAATTTAGTGAAAAAATGTCGTGGTTATTCGGAATCAAAACCCAACCGCCCATGGGGGATGGGAACTTCCCTCCGCCTCCAGCTCCACCTGCGTCGGGGGGACAAAATAATGATGGAGCCCAAAATCAAGGACCAAAAAGTTCTCAAATGGAGGCGTATAGGTTCGATTCGTCTGCCCTGGAAAGGGCAGCTCAAGCTGCTAAAGAGCTGGAGAAATCAAGTAAGTTATTTTTTGATTGACATTTATCCAATTTCCGTGTCTTGACTTTTTCAGAGTAAATCAGAAGAGGTAAGCCCCGTAAAGTCTTGATTTTGCTAAGTCGTTGAAGGTTAGGTTGCCCTAGAACATTCAAATCTCAAGGTGATCTATATGGTAATGGAAAACAAGAGTTTTATTTATGGTTTAATGTGATATTAAACTTATTTCCCGTTTGTTTTCTTTCATGCCATATCTGTTCCATTTTTTTCTTGCTCCCTTAAGTACTTTGCAGAATGTGGTGGAAAGGGTTGTGTACTTATTTCATTTATCACTTAAGGAGCAATTGATTTTCCAATGAATGGAGAGAAAAACAGTTGTAATTTAAATTTTTTCTCAGTTGCATCTGTTATTTGTTATGTATACTAAGTCACTGTTTTATTATCTTATTGCATGATGCAACATAATACACAAGCTCTGTCATTTCTAATTAAGTTTTAATCATTATTTTCAACTTTTTCCTCAACATTTTCTCAACTAATATCCTCGTGTTCCATTTAATTTTCAGGGCACTCTGGTGAAGCCTTGGAATTGTCTAAACTTCAGGAAAAAACAAAACAGTCAGAATATGGAATGAAAATGAAAGAATATGAAGCTCACATAGAGCAAATGAAAGTAGAACAGAAAAAAGTAGAGGGGGAGGAAAGAAGAAAAACTATCCAGGAAGAAACAAAACAGCACCAACAAAGAGAGCAGTATCATGATCAGCTGTCACGAAAAAGGTGTGGATATTATCCTTAAATTTTCATATTATCCTTACAAAACTCATTAAAGAAAACTATCACAACCACTAGGTATGATGACCAACTTATGCAACAAACTCGGATAAATGAAGAAAACTTGAGGAAGCAGGAAGAATCTGTGGCCAAACAGGAGGCCATGAGGAAAGGTAAGCAAAATTGATTGATTGCTTTTGATCGTTCTTGTGATCCTTAGTTTTTATCTCCTTTGTAATGACTTAACTCAATTCACAATTTTTTGTCTAGCTACCATTGAAAAAGAACTAGAAATGCGTCATCAACTAGAAATGAAAAAATTAGAAGCAGAAATGAGGGCAAAAGCAAAGGTTGATCGAGAAAATCAAGATCTGACCCTTGAGCAAATCCGTGTGAAGGCTGCAGAGAAACGCACCACAGTTCTTGAATCAATTAAGTAAGATTAAATTTGTCATTATCTCCTTGGAGATTGATAAGGACATGATCTTATTAACTGACTTGCATGTTTTCTGTTCAGAACTGCAGGATCTGTTTTAGGCTCTGGAGCTCATGCTTTGCTGACAGACTGGGATAAAGTTTTAGCTGCAGCAGGAGGACTCTCCCTCCTAGCACTAGGTGTATATACTGCCAAGGGAACCACATCTATTGCGGCTCGTTACATTGAGGCGAGACTTGGTGCGTTGCATTTTGTTATTTTGGTGCTGCAAATTTGTTTCCTAAACCTTACATCAGATCTCAATTTTTATATTCTTTCTAGGTAAACCATCCCTCGTCAGAGATACTTCACGCATTACAGCCTTAGATGTTGTACAGCATCCAATTCAAACTGCCAAAAAACTTAAAAATAGAGAAAGTGATGCTTTAGAAGGTGTTGTCCTTGAGCCACGTCTTGAAGAAAGGCTAAGGTACTTGGTTCTCAAGTTATTAAAATTTTCTTATCTTGACCTTCTCTCTTAAATCATTGTTAATTTCAATTTTTATTTTATTTGTAGGGATATTGCCATAGCTACAAAGAATACTAAACAAAATCGGGGTATGTACAGAAATATTCTTATGTATGGTCCTCCGGGAACAGGAAAAACTATGTTTGCCAAGGTTAGTAGAATTTTACATTACCCTTACTTTAATGTTCTTGGTCTCTTCACTTTCTGATAATGATCATTTATAATACACAGAAACTTGCTATGCACTCTGGTATGGACTATGCTATTGTTACTGGTGGTGATGTTGCTCCTATGGGAAGAGACGGTGTCACAGCAATTCACAAGGTTTTCGATTGGTCACAAACTTCAAGAAAAGGACTACTATTGTTTATTGATGAAGCTGATGCTTTCCTTCGTAAAAGAAGCAGTGAACATATTAGTGAGGATCTACGAGCTGCTTTAAATGCGTTCCTCTACAGGACAGGAGAGCAAAGTGATAAGTAAGGGTTAACTTTTATATAAGTGAAGTCATGTGTTTGTTTTGGCAACTACTAATTTTACGTTTTAAATAGGTTGATGCTAGTGCTGGCATCTAACACGCCAGAGCAGTTTGATTGGGCTGTCAATGACCGTTTGGATGAAATGGTGGAGTTTGATTTGCCTGGACTTGAAGAACGTGAGCGGCTAATGAGATTGTACTTTGAGAAATTTGTGCTTTCGCCTGCACTTGAGGGACATAAGTAAGTGTTTGATACACAATGTTCTACAGATTCTAACAACTCCCATGTACTTTTCTTACTTCAACTAATATTTCTTTCTGTTTTAGGAGGCTGAAAGTTGCTCAATTTGACTACAGTGACCTTTGTTCACGCATGGCCACACTTACTGAGGGATTGTCTGGCCGTGAAATTTCCAAATTGGGTGTGGCATGGCAAGCAGCTGCTTATGCATCTGATGATGGTGTGCTTACTGAACAGATGGTCTTAGACCGCTGTAAGGATGCTATTAGCCAACATAGACAGAAGGTGGAATGGCAGTCAGATCAGGAACGCCAGGAGGCAAAATCTATTTTGGGATCCTCCTCCTACCATTCTGAAAAAGATACTCAATATGTAAATGTTCTAAACACAAATAATAGTGCTCAGGTCTCCGAGCCAAGAATAACTGTTACTGAAGTAGAAGACAATACACCACAAGACAAGCCAACTGTTGAAAAGAAAAAGAAACGTAGCAAGGAATAATTATTCTAAATGTGATTTATTGTTTCCTCGTCACTTCATTACAATTCTTTCTTCGAAAGTACTGCATGAGGTGTAATTAGATAAGTTATTCTCCTCCTGTACCTTTTGGTGACTAAGACCCTTTAGTTCAACAGGAGTTATCACAAGCATTTCTAAGAGGTCGTATGCAGCCTTGGTATTACTAGTCGTTCACATTTGTTTCAGCTATAAGCCAATGGAATAATTTGTATAGTTCTGTTCAAGCCATTACTTTTCATTGAAAGGAAATGCATATGATGCCACATTCCCCATATGTATCATGTAGTTCAAACTAGCTGATTTCATAACTAACTGCTTGTTGGGTGTATATGTGGTCATATTGCAGACATCACTCACTCAGTCATCAGTTCTACAAATTCAGATGTATATTCTTCCGTTTATGTACTTCCTCTAGTTTGCTGGTGCATACATTTATATAAACTGCAAACGTACAAAACTAAATACTGGATATTGGCTAACCTTTCAGTTGGGGCCTATGTTCCAATTGATTGCAGTGTTTCATGTTTGGCTTTGGGCGGTAGAGAATATTTATTTTTCAATAGTGAAATTTGTACATGTCTGTGTTATCACTCATTTTTTGTTATGATGCACTAATGAATGTTAAACACTATTTTTCTCTGCAGGAAGTGACAGTACTATTTTCATGTTTTATTGTCATAAGTGTTCTCATGGAATCAGGGTTACTTTTAGTGTGTGTTCCCTATATCCATATCCTCTTAAAGAATGTTCCCAGCCACCAAGAAGTTATTTTAGAATGTTATTTTCTAAGAATTAGCATAGAATTGTGCTCAGTTTGTAGACTTTTATTAGTGCCCATTTTAGACCCTAGTGCATTTTCTTGGAAAGTTGTTACCGGACTGAAAGAATGAACTGATGTCCTTGTTACTATAAGAAATCTCCTTTAACCCGCCTGTCCCCGGCTCTGAGCTGAGTTGTCTAGTTCGATCCGCACTTTGTTGGTTTTCGACAACGTGCGTGGAGTCTGTTTGCTCTCCGTTGCGCTCAATGTTTGAGGACTGTTGAAAGTTTATATGTAATGTTCATTATATCTGTTGATGCCCTTATCTTGTTGCATAGTTTGAATAAACACACTAAAGTGAAAGCTGCTGTTGGTATGCGATATCCTTCCGCTCCGTTTGCCTCGGCCGTCGGCCGCGCAAGTGTCCACTGTCCATTATCGCCGTTGCCGTGGACGCCCGGGGGGCTCGTCCACTCCCGCAACATGGCGGAAAGCAATCACATCTGAAGAAAAACAAACTTTAGGCAAAATAAAACGGCTAAATTTCCAAGTGAAATGCAACGACTGTGACGCGCCATCAACATGACAAGCAGCTTCCTCACAACCTACCGCAATGACTTCCTCTGGCCCTTCGTCCGCACTGCCCCCCTCAGGTACGATGAGGGTGCTGCTGCCCCGCCCCCGGGCCCCGCCCCGCCCGATGTGCCCGGTGCTCACCGTGTCCCACTCTCCAGGCCGGGATGCCAGGGCGTGCGCTACACCACGGTGCCCTCGCCCGAGCAGGCCCTGGAGCGGGGGCTCTGCCTGGAGGAGTACGAGCGCCTGCTGGAGGCCCGGCGCCGCTGCCAGGCGGAGGCGGAGGCTGCCGTGGAGCTGCACGCCGGCCGACCTGGCCCCCATACTCCAGCGGCGGCCTCCCCCGGGGCTCCGCACGGCTACTGCATGCCGGCCGAACTTCAAGTAGCGCGCAACGACCGCGCGCAGCAGAACCTCAAGATGGTGCGGACCGTCCAGGGCCACTCCCGAGTCCGCTGTGCCTGAAACTGCAACCTGCTGGGAGCAACGCGTTCTTCTGCCCGCAGCTCCAGGAGAAACACCCTTACCTGTTCAACATGATCCGGTCGTGCCCACCCGATGACCTAGTGGCCAGGGTGTTCAAGGACAGATACAAGAGCGTCTACCAGGTGGACTACTGCAAGCAAGGTACGTAGAGGTCGGCTGCGACGCTGTAAGTGCTGCAATCATCCCCTCCCACCTCACTTGGTGACCCCTCCCTCACCGGGTGTTTCCAGGCGAGTACCCGAACAGCGAGTACGACGCGCTGGTAGCGGGGTCCGGGCTGGCCGGCGCGGCTCCAGGGGCCCTCCCGTACTGCCCCTGCAGGTCCAACACTTACTCCTCGGACGGTAACCGGATGGCGGTCGTGTCCCTCGACCGGAACAGGCAGCGTGAGTACCTTACTCGGAGTACCTTAAGCGGAGGGTGGCTTAGCATTTACCCCCTCCCCCTCCTTATTTCCCCTCCCCCAAGTGCAAGCGTGCGAACAAGCGGCCGAGGTGGGGCGGAGCTCCGACGGCGACATCGAGGTGTGCCTGTGCGGCCTGGTGCCCAAGAAGCCGCAGTTCGCGCGGAAGTGCACGATCTCTTGCAAGCCCAAGAACTACGGGAAAAGGCCCGGGGAAGGTACGTGGTGGTGGCGCACCCACCCGCGACAGCGCGCTCTACCCGCTGCCGGTCCCGACTAAGACCGCCGACGCTTTCTATTGCAGACCAGGGCGACGGGAGAGAGGCCTTCAACCAGTACCGCACGGAGTACCGCGACAGCTACAGCAAGCTGGGAGGCATGATCACAGCCGAGAACATCCACTGCTCCACGCGGGGCCACCGGCCCGGCTCCTGACCAGCCCCCGCCACCTCAAGACCGTCACCACCCGCGACTCACGATTCGGCCAAATAAACAGATGTGATTGCTTTGATGAGGTGGCCCTCTTTCGGCTGTGTAGGCTCGCAAAGGTTGGGTCGCTGGTCTCTTAAATGAATGGGGACGGTATGGGAGCGTTGGGGGTTCTGTTCGTTTATTCCTTGCCGTTGGAGAATGCCCTTCAGGAGTGGGGATCGGGCCGCAGGTGAATCCACGTGCGTGGCGGAGGCTCCTTTCCCTGCAACAGAAAATACACAGAAATAGAGGTACTCGTCCGGAGTCGCGACTCCTCGCTATCGCGACGCCTCGCCGCTTGCCTGTCTGCACGGCGGCGTGCTGTAGTCGGGCTCCGGGTACACGACGGGCGGCGTGGCCAGCCGGCAGGTGCCCCTCTCCAGGACGAGCCTCTTGAGCTGCTCGTAGGCCGGCCTGGAGTGCACGTCCGTGTAGAACGTACGCCCTGACCGGAAACGGCGCCGCGGGCAGTAGCCGTACACTGCAGGGGTGAGGGTAACCGAGGGGCCCTTTACACAAGCGTACACTAATTTTTCTGATTTTTTTTCTGATTTTGTTTATTTTTTCTTATTTTTTCTTGATTTTTTTCCATGATTTTTCCATTATTTTTTTGTTGGGGTTGCGGAGATATACACTGATTTGTTTGCAGTAAAGGGAATGGGCTCCTCGGGGTAAGGGTCTCGTGGGAGGGGGATGGGCGCTGAAACTACGCACCCACGCGTGCCGTGTCCGGCGGAGGCAGCAGCTTGCGGTCTGGAGGGTGCAGCACCCGCTCCAGCGAGTCCATCAGCTCGTCCTCCTTCAGTGGATCGACGGCCGCATCACTCCTGGGAAAGCCTGTCGTAAGGAAAATATGAAATAAATAGAGGCGTCAGGATGAGGGAGAATACAGAGGTCTGGTTGGAGTAGGCGTGGCGAAACGCGTCAAATAACGGCACTTACGCTCCTCGCAGTAATCCACGCGGTACGTTGATTTCGACCTGAGCAGGTGCAGCTGTTGTATCGCATCCAGAGAGTCCTGTCCGGGCTGGAAAATTTGCGATGGTTACCGTTTCCTCTGTTCCGTCAAATGCCGAGTGGGCGCCTGCCGTGCGTTGGCTAGGCCGCCCGCCTCGTACGCATGCCGAGCGGGACTGCCTATCCAGCGCCGGAGAGGCGCCCGCCATGCGTTGGGTAGGCCGCCCGCCTCGTACGCGTGCCGAGCGGGACTGCCTATCCAGCGGCGGACAGGCGCCCGCCATGCGTTGG